TTTTTCGTCATTTAACTAATTTATGCTAACTAATTTGTGTTCACAGAGCACTGTATAAATGAAAATGGTCAGCACACTAATTATCTTTGCCTAGAACTCAAGGTTCTCTCGAATTGTCAGATTTTGTTAGAGGAAGGATAGTTGGTCAAGCAGATGGTGGAATAAGTCAGCGGCAAATTTCGCAGAATTTGGGAATCCCGCTTTCGACAGTCAACAGAATCATCGTGCAGTTCAGGAAACACGGCAAGGAAACAACTGAGCAGCATCCGGGTCACCCTGGTCCATCGGAGAAAACCAAAAGGGCTGTCAAGAGGAGCATCGAAATGGATCCCAGATTAACGACTGCAGAAGTGGCCAAAGTTGGTGGGATGAGCCCGAAATCTGTTCAACGGATTCTCCACAGATTGGGTTATCGTTGCAGAGCAGCTAGACGGAAGCCCTTATTAAGACCTGCCAACATAGTCAGACGAAAGAAGTGGGCAAGTGATATGATGGACTATTGAAAGACCGCATTGTTCTCAGACGAATCAAGATCCGCTCAATTTTCGGAGAGAGGAAGGATATGGGTCTGGAAAATACCTTACTAAGAGTTTTGGCTCAACAGATTGCAGCCAACTATGAAGCAGGGTTGATTCATCTTGATGGTTTGGGGAGCTGTTTGGGTTGGTGGGAGATCGAGCTTAGTGGAGTGCGTTGGCAACATAAATTTTGCAAAATACGTCGAAATATTGGAGGAAGGACTCTTGCCACTTCCTCGGGTTTCGTGGACAAGAACACAACGTTGTTCCAGGAAGATGAAGCACCGTGTCACACTGCTAGAAACACCCAAAAGTGGCAGGAAGAAAATGGTATCTAGAAGTTGCCCTGGCCGAGCCAATCTCCTGACATGAACCCAATCGAGGAGCGATCTACTCCAAGTTTTGAAGCAAGAGTGGGCTAAAATCCCACAATCTAATATTGACGAGATGATTCTCACGATGTCCCAAAGGATAACGAACTCCACGAAGCGAAAGGAAGGTCTATTAGATATTAATGAAATTATAAATATATCAATTCATGTGAATATGACTGAAAATTTTCATTTTTTCTGAAAAGGTGGTGTCTATTTACTTGTGACCACGCTGTGTACTGTTGAAAGTACAGTTCCAGAACTCCCATTAATTGTGAGGTTTTTAAGAAAAAACTTGGGAAGTTTAGAAAATGGGGCAGATAATATTTACCCAAGATTTTGATAGAGGTTAAGGATTGAATATGTGAGCCACTTGCTACTATTTTTTCTGAATCCTTGAATAGTGGGGAGGGGCCAGAAGATTGGAAGTTAGCTAATGCTATTCCCCTTTTCAAGGGAGTTGATAAAAGTTGCCCCAGTAATTATAGGCCTATTAGTCATTACATCAGTTGTGGAAATAGTTTTTGAAAGTCTGACAAAAAATGCTTTACAAAGTCATTTAACAAAGTTTAACATTTTGTTGGATAGTCACCATAGTTTCATTAAGGGAAGCTTTTGCCTTATTTATCTATTGATTTTCTTTGAAGAGGTTACTACATATGTAGATGAGGGCACAAATGTGTATTTGGATTTGCAGAAAACATTTGACAAAGTGCCACATAAAAGGTTTGTTAATAAAGTTATCTCTGTTGGTCTGGGGGATAGGATGTCTCATTGGATGTAAAGATGGTTAGATGAACGAAAGCAGCAGGCTCAGTGTTTTTGACTTTGTTCTTTTTGATTTACATCAATGATACAGATGAAGGAATGGTCAATAAATTATCTAAATTCGCTGATGACATTAAAGTTTGGGTTATAGCATTCGGATTATTTGGCGAGTTAAGTGAATGAATGACAAATGACTTTTAGTTATAATAAATACAAGGTAGTGCACATGGAATATCACAATTTGAATCATGATTATAATTTTGATGTGAATGACCTTAATCGTGTACTGGTTGATCAGTCTTTTGAGACGTCTAAACCATCTGCTGGTGCTAGAGTCAAAGCAAATAGGATTTTAGGTTGTATTGAACACATGTCTAAAGAATTCGTAATGTCGTAATATAGGTCATTGGTTACGCCACATTTGAAGTACTTTGTTCAGTCTTGAGCTCCTTATCTGAAAGAAGACATTCAGTTGTTGGAAATGGTTCAGAAAAGGGGGCTACTAGGATGATGCTTGAAAGGAAAACGTTCTCTTACGAAAATATATCAAGATGTCTGAACTTATTTTCTCTTGAAAAAAGAAGAGTTAGAGGAGATCTTGTTGAGGTGTTTAAGATCGTTAAGGGAAATGATATTGTAGATGCGTCACATTTTTTCTTATTTAACGGTGAGACTAGGTGACACAAATATAAATTTTGTCAGGGTAGCAGTCATCTTCAGCTGAGACAGCTTTATTTTTCTAACCGGGTAGTTGGCCTCTGGAACTGGTTGCTTTCAGATGTATAGATGCAGTTAATGTATGGAAGTTTAAGGGAAAGCTTGATAAATATTTAATTAAGAAGGGCTGGCTTTCAGTTTTTTAGTGTTTAGTTTAATTTGGTGGATACAATGGCCTAGATGGACCAAAAGGTCTCTTGTCGTCCTTTAATGTTATGTGATTAAGGAAATAAAATGAACAAGGTATTTTGCAGTTTTCAAAGTTAACCAAAAAAAAGTTTTCTTGTGTCACCTATTAGAACCTTGTCTTTGTTCAGTGGTTGATCGAAGCTACAAATGATGTATTGTAGACTAAGTGTTTAATGTAGATGATTGTATTGTTGTTTATCCTATGAGAGGTTTGACATAGTGTGATGAGCGTGTTTTAATGAATAGAACGTTCTTCAAAGTTTAGAAAACCATTTGAGACATACAACGAGCGAATTAAGCTAGAATAGCCCCCCCCCCCAGTGTCACAGCGGTATGTCTACGGACGTTACAAACAAATGAGGTAGAATAAGTTTATTACTGAATCTATTAATAAGTTATGTTGATTTGGTTTGTGTTTAAGCACTAAGCTACTCAATATACTATGTGCGTTGCGCCTACCGTGGTTGTCGAACCCTGAATGTTAGTGTTATAAACTCTCAAGCTGAACGTTCAGTTACCTTGAGTCTGATAGTGAAATATTACTTCATTAAGTTTGTTAGTCAGTTTAGTACTGCAATTAATGTGTTTCTGTTTCGGCGAAGAAATAAAACGCTTTAGTTATCAGTAAACGGACTGGACTTTGCATTCTAATATTTACCGAATAATCTAAAAAAAAATCGCCCAACAAATGAAACCGTCTTAAAGTCAAGATTTAAAAAAACAATCATTGTAACTTTACTAATGATAACACACTGGACAATTTATAGTTTCTTTAAATGAAAATACAAAATAAAGTAAAGACCGAGCTCAATTTTAACAATTTAGGGAATATGTTGTATTTGAGACACAGTGAAGTGTGATATATATATAATTAAAGGGGGAGGAGGTTTCAGTGATACAGCTTCTTACGCTTGTAAAAGGTCACTAGAAAACTATACATGAAAATGTTATGAAAGTAACGTCTCATTTTCATGAAAAAACCTATAGTCTCACTATCTGTAAAATCAACCACCTCGATCTGTTGCACAACTAGAAATGCTTAAATTATCTACCAAATATATCTTTTCCGTCCTGTCATCTGTTCAAAAGTTACGTCACAATCATTTTCAGCAATAAACAGACAATTATCTCTAACTAGAGAAAACTACTAGTTTAATAAACTTACTTGGCCAAACCACAAGGTCTGGAATTCTGTTGAACGTTCCTTCCCTTAACATAAAGATTTCACGCATTGTCTGGCCTGAAAGTACGTGTAAAAAGTATAAGTATATAATACTAGAATCCTGCTCTCTTTACAATAATAACATAATGTTCATCTTTCGTGCATTTTTTATTATAAATAACATCTATTTTTTGTTGTAAGATCACAGTGTATCAACTGTTTCAGTAAATTAATTAGGGGGGGGGATTATTTGTGTTCTGCACTTACTAAAAACTGAGTCTAAATACAACACTGACTGCGAAAAATCAAATATATTTATAAATGAATGCAGTTAAACAACTGTTCTAATAATAATTTTTTGTCCTGTCTATTTACTAAAGGTTAGCAGCCATAAGCTACATTTGTATTTGATATAAGAGTAAGCACGCGTCTTCCGCACTTGGCTTATTTCCAGACATGGCTACCAAATTACCTTGTAGAAAATACTGTTTCGCTACTAACAATGTGTTAAGTTTCCTTGGATAAACGCTCCCATCTCTGTTAATTTTGAAGAGCCGATAAAGCGCAGGATTCTATACCTTTTTCTCTTTTTTACGTGAGGTACGATTATAGAAAACATGAATATCAACAGTTCTTTTATATTAGTATAAAAAAAACAGGATATAAATTAGCTTCCTGTGATATATTATCTACAAACACATAGGATTATGGTATTAATATTGTGTACAAACGCATAGGATTATGGTATTCATAGTGTGTACAAACACATGAGCTAATGGTATTATGAAATTTATATTTGTCGTAAGAACATAAAACTAATATTTTTTGAAAAGCTAAACAGGGAACATTTCATAGATAAAGTGGGATTACCTGAAGCACTGGTCATGTAAGCTATTTAAATAATGAGAAAAGATAAACATTTGGCTATATTTTTGGTTGTGTTGAATTGCTGTCAACACCGACATGGTGTAAGATGTAAAACAGCATAAGTCATCTACGTGACAACATCTTCACAACAAGTGGTACGAACTTTATCAGAAAGAGAACAATACATGTACATTATGTTTCACTGAATAAATTCAGAATTTTCAAATATTTTCTCAGCAACTGAAAACCGAGACAGAATTAGATTCAAACCCATGATTCTACTTACTTGGAAGATCTGCCAACCGTACATCAAGAATACCCAACCCTCAGATTTCTCTTCACGGATTCCATAGGCCTGCGAATTTAAACTTTATAAAAGTTGTTTTGGTTTTAATAACGGATTTTCCATAATTCCGCTACGCACATTTCGAAAATAATATTCATTGTTTTTCTATCATGTAAGGATTTTTTACAAATCGGGGGAAGAAAACTCTTACTTAGATCAAATTATTATTTCGTTTACCATAAGGAAAATTTTTTATTATTATGTTTGTTAACAAAAAATACAAACAAACTGAAGAAAAGGGAAGAACATTGATGTCAAACAAATACTCATCCTCATTCTTTCTGATTTTGTGTGTGTGCGTGCGTGCGTGCGTGTGTGAAATCTACGTCTTTTAGTCTCAAACTACCTGTTGTGGTATTTCTTTTATGTATTGCATTATGACGTTTTGTAAAAAATCTGTACGTGATGGAAAAAAATGGATATCATTTTCGGATTCAGCGTACAGGAATTACTGTAGGACATGTAAAAATTTCAAGACAATAAAACCATCGCAGGCCTGTGTTATTAAGCAAGAAGTATGATCGGACATTGGATCTATTCTAAATGGCTTGTAAACTAAAGTTGGCTAAAGCTCCTTCGCTAAAAGCAGAATTGATTTCGATAAAAAATTATACTGTTATACTACCATTTCCGACTCTGTGTTTTTAACGTATCATGTTCTTTGAGTTGGCGCTTGGTGTAAGTGCCCCAACTGCACATTCATGATGTTTAGATAAGTACTAAACACTAAATCAAATATTTTACTGTAAAATGCGCTCATATGACACTGTTTATACAGTAAAATCTTGTGCATATAGAAGATACGTTTTTATCCCCTATTTCATACAAGAATCACGAAAACGAGGATAAAATAACAACTGGGTTGATTGAACCTATATATAGATATTTTATGTTTTACTTTTTAGTCGAAGTAAATTTTACTATACATTTTATGAATCATTCATCAGCCCAGAGTTTTCAGGTCTTTGTTGTTCTTATTTGTCTGATTTTGTAAATTACTTTTCTATGCAGGAATTTGTAAGAACCCAAAATCAAAGGCTGCTTTCTTTCACAGATATTTTCTAGATATGTAAGTTCATAATTACGTGTTCTTGTGATTAATAGTTCATTATTAAATCAATTTTTTAAAATTAAAAACTATAACATTTCTACTCACCATGTGACCTAAATAGCCTGTCCTGCGGCTCATCGGTGTAGGAAATATTTACAATCTTGAGGTCTTCAAGGAAATCTTTATTTGTTAATGGAGTTGGCAGGACTTCATTTTTAATTTCTGCCTACGGAGACAGTTTATTTTTTGTAAATATTGCAAATGATTCTTGAATATCTGAAAACTCATGATGTAACACATTCTCTTTAATAGAACTTGCACCATCAATACTGAAGAAATTAATAATTGAAACATTATAATATTAGCTTACAACAAATGATATAATGAATAATCGAAACATTATAACATTAGCTTACAACAAATTATAATATGAATAATCGAAACATTATAACATTAGCTTACAACAAATGATGTAA